ACAAAAGTATCTATATCCACAGTAAAACAAGTCCTATTTCGACATAACCTGAAAAGCCGCTCAGCAAGGAAGAAGCCACTGCTCCTAAACCACCATAGAAAAGCCAGACTACGGTTTGCAACTGCACATGGGGACAAAGATCGTACTTTTTGGAGAAATGTCCTCTGGTCTGATGAAACAAAAATAGAACTGTTTGGCCATAATGACCATCGTTATGTTTGGAGGAAAAAGGGGGTCGCTTGCAAGCCGAAGAACACCATACCAACCGTGAAGCACGGGGGTGGCAGCATCATGCTGTGGGGGTGCTTTGCTGCAGGAGGGACTGGTGCACTTCACAAAATAGATGGCATCATGAGGAAGGAAAATGATGTGGATATATTGAAGCAACATCTCAAGACATCAGTCAGGAAGTTAAAGCTTGGTCGCAAATGGGTCTTCCAAATCGACAATGACCCCAAGCATACTTCCAAACTTGTGGCAAAATGGCATAAGGACAACAAAGTCAAGGAATTGGAGTGTTATTCACAAAGCCCTGACCTCAATCCTATAGAACATTTGTGGGTAGAACTGAAAAAGCATGTGCGAGCAAGGAGGCCTACAAACCTGACTCAGTTACACCAGCTCTATCAGGAGGAATGGGCCAAAATTCACCCAACCTATTGTGGAAAGCTTGTGGAAGGCTACCCGAAACGTTTGACCCAAGTTAAACAATTTAAAGGCAATGCTACCAAATACTAATTGAGTGTATGTAAACTTCTGACCCACTGGGAATGTGAAATAAATAAAAGCTTAAATAAATCATTCTCTCTACTATTATTATTTTGGGGTTTGTAGTTTTAAAAAATACTTTAAAATCACCAGGAATACATCAAAACATTCATTTGATTTAGGAAATCTGTTCCCAAGTATTCCCATAAAAAAAAGAGACATGATCGTCTCTCAATGTAATCAAGGTAAAACATGATTATTTTCAAATATAATCTTTTTTTTAAATTAGTTGTGGTCATTTTGAAGTGTACCCTCTAGATTTTCCAAGCTAACTCATTTGTGACCCCAGTGTTTTTTGGAAACTGGGGGAAAATATATCTAAAACAGAACATCATTGATCATATTACCCAACTCATTTGCAACACTGACATTTTTTATTCTCTTTGTACATTGATAGGACATTCTTAGAAACTGTTGTGTAATTCAGATTGTGTCTGTTTGGAGCACAAAGGTTCAAGTCTGTCTAAATATATCTAGCCTAGCACACTGCACAGTTTAAAAATAGCTCTCCAGCTCGTCTCCGTGCTTCCACACCGAGCATTTCATACCTAGAAACAAACCAATTTAGACAGCCATTCATAAATCACAAATGAGAAAAGGCTTGAAGAACAAAATACAGAGTTAGCAGTTTCATAAACACCTATCTGAATCTCAATGTAAAGCAAGAGTACATTCCTCTGCTGGATTCTTTAAGCTTCATGTTGCTGCCACTCCTCTTGAGAAGCTTCCAGTAAGCCTGTACGTGGTTGGTCTAATATGACTTCCTGTAATATTAAGAGTGCTTGTGTCAAACCCGTCTAATGCGTGCAGTGGGCGAGATGATTCGTAACGTCATAAAGGGCCACATCCAGCAATTACTCCATTATTAGCCAGCAGATAAGAGAGGGGGAGGAAGTAAAGGAGGGACGGACGGAGGGAAGGAGAAAGAGACAGTGAGGGTGGTGTAAATGTGTCCTACAAAGTGTCATGAGGGTTTACATAAAGCGTTTAATTCAATTTGAAAGAAGCATCGCATCCATTCGCAATGCACTAAATCACTTCCCTCCAACCGGCTCGGAAGAACTTCAGAACAATTTGACCCTGTGTATGTTGCGAGGTCAAACGAGTCTTTAGATGGTTATCACTACCAGGTTGTCATTGCCAGGGTCATTCAAATGTCAAGAGATGCCATTGAAGATAATTCATTGTTTAATTGTGCTCATCTTTGAATGACCTAATGTCTAATGGTTTGATAGGACTTGTCTGATGTGTTTCTCCTTGAAAAGGCAATCGAAGATAATGTAGCTCTATGCTAGATAAGCCCAATCTATCTTGCTTTTTCATTCTCATAATGAGAATGCAGATACTTTCTTGCATTATGTCTAGTCTTTATGATTTTTTTTGTTTTAAAATTAACTTTATTACATTTTTAGTATAAGTATATAATTTCTACTTTTTCCCACTAATCTTTGAATGATCCGTATGCAGCAATTTATGTCATACTTAGATGATGGTGATTTGTAGATTAGTTGTGCCTTCTGTGAGTGAATGCCCATTAATAGATCATCTCTGTGACCCGTTCTGCCTTTTGTAATATGAAAACATCTGACTTTTTATTGGTTATAAAGTGGAGTGACACACAACTGTTTTCGTAGATTATCATCATCATGTGTCAATTGTTTCTGAAGATATTAGAGATCGCAAAGTGGATATGAAGAAATGCTTGACTTTACACTTTTTATTCTCTGTTTTGTGAAAGAAAACTGCCTGCCTGGTGGCCGATTATTTCCTGAAGACAAGCAATACATCTATGAGAGACAATTCAATTTTCAGGCTGGTAATAAATGTCACAGAAGATAAACAGCTGACAGATAATTACAGTTTGTTTTCATTTCCCTCCTTGGTGGTGTGTGTGTGTGTGTGTGTGTGTGTGTGTGTATTTGCTTTCATGAAGTCAATTCCATTGCAGACCTTATGTCTTCATATAAAAACATTCATGAGGAGAATCCTTGATGTATTAAAACCAATTAACTCTGAGAATAAATAATGTGTATATAATTCCCCACTTATAGTGGTGATACCATATCCTTCAATCTGTTCCACTTATGTTCTAATGGAGACAACCTCAGACAAACTGGTAGAAAAAGGGCAGATTTATTTAAAGCACTTTGTCCCCTACATAGAAAAATATGATTGATTTGAGTCTAAAATAATAAATAGAGTGCCTGACTATCCTCAGGCCCCATTGGTAACGTACAGCAGTACAATCAATATCCAGTTTCACAATACAGCAAAGGCACTAGCATTTACCGCAATCAGCACAGTCGACAGGGGTTGTGGGAGGCATTGAAGGTGGCAGGGGCAGTGGGGTCTGGATCCATCCCATTCAATGGCAGCTCTGTATGTACCTAACCCATAGTAGCGATGCAGGTTATCTGCCCATCCCACAGGTATTATATGTAACCATTCACTCATTACAAAGTCATTACAGTAGCAAATAGGCTTGAATACATGTGCCGTTTATTGTGACTGTTGGCGTATACCTATTATTTGGTATTTGGAGTGGTAATTTCATTGGGGTTGAAAGGTTGATTTGTTACTGCCCGGTTGTCCCGTGGATTATGTGTAGTGTTCAAAACAGTATTAGTAGCATATAAAGATTTAGGAAGGGGTTGGGATTAGAGAAAGAAGGGATGGTTTGTGAGAACAGGAGTGGGTTTCAGGATGGTGTACGAAAAAAACAAGGAATGGGTAAATAGAAAAAGGAATGAAGTTTTAAAGAAAGGGGAAAGGTTCATCGTAAAAGGAGATATGTTTGTTTGGTAGACGGCAAGGTTTGTTACAGTAGATGACACATAACATACAGTGTATCACTCATCTAGACATGGCACTGTTAATGTTCCAATCGCTCATGGAAGTTCAGTAGTGATTTTTAACAATTCAAATACACTAGGCCATTTATCTGCAGCCATTGGGGGGGTCCCAATCAGTAGTGACTTGTATTTTTGGCTGAATTTAGGCCCATATTTGGCTTAAAGGGGATAAATATATGCAGGAGGAAAAACAACAATCTTACTATTAATACATATATTAATCTTTACTCCCTAATGATTAGAAAAAAGCATGTAGTGGAATTCTTTAGATGCAGGATGATAAATGCAGGTTTTTAGTATGATGTAGAGGAAAGAGAAAATGATAGGACATTGAGTGGTAAGCATGTAGTATGACGAAGCATGGTGAGTTAGTGAGCAGCTTGTTTAGTTAGTGAGTGCACACACACACACACACACACACACACACACACACACACACACACACACACACACACACACACACACACACACACACACACACACACACCCAACGTCCAGTTTGACCGTGATGCCTGGCTATTCCCCACGCACAATCCTTCAGAAGCTTTCAAACAAGGACATACTCTTTCCTTTCAGGGGGCCCAAAAATAGAGAAAGGAAAAATAATGTAATTTTTATGCAACATCATAATCAAAACATATATATGCCATATTTGTTTGTTATTAATTGATAATCATTTACATAGAGAGAAAAAACAGATATCATTAAATATCTTGTTAAATATAATGGAAAATGATAAGGCTTAAATATTTATCCAGTTCGATTGGTCACTCCGAACGTGATTCCGATTCGTCCCCTTGAAGAGACCAGGGAAGATGCAACTTCGCTTTCTTTCAGTTCTGTATTTTCCAAGTTTCCTGTCCTTGAGTGACAATTATCATGATTTGTTCTGACGATCAGGGCCTTTTCTGAGGAAATACATTTCAAACCAATCGGATTGGTTTGAAATGTATTTTCCTCAGAAAAGGCCCTGATCGTCAGAACAAATCATGATAATTGTCACTTACTCTCAGACTTAAAGCAGTCAACCACTCATCCCTCTCAGAGTAACTTCTTCCCAGTGAGCCCAACATCTTGTGACAACTGTCATGTCTGTTCTGTTTGGTTCTTTGTTTTTATTCCAGTTTGGGTCATAATCCATTACAACATAGTTGGGTGGGTCATCCCAGCCCAAACCACCCCAGAAATTTTAGCTAACACATCTCCAGAATGTTCTACAAGACTTTAAAGCTCCATCTTGATATCCAAGCTTAGTAGTGATATTGGCTGATAGTTGCCAATATTCCCGAACGCCTTTAGCCTTGCCAGGGAGCAGCATGGGGGCCAGTGGGGCCGTTGGGGCCCTAAGTATGGAACCCAGTGGCCCTTGGGAGTCCTGGTTTAGATGTTCCTCTGAGCAGTAAGGTACTTGAGGGCAGCTGCGCCGTACTTCCGGGACAGGTCTTGGTGGAACTCTTCTTTCAGGGTCTGCAGGCAGTAGCGGTAGCTCGGGCTGGAGCGGAACTTGGAGATGTCGAAACTGGGTGCGTGTGGCATGTGGATCATGAACGCGTTGGGCAGAACCATCAGGTCGTACTCCTGGGGGGTGGGAATGGCGGGAAAAAGTTCATTTATTTAATTTGTTTATTGGACAAGGTCCATGTACAACAGGCACCACATTTTAGCATTTTAGCTACGTAGCTAATACTCATCTGCAGTCCCGGCTGTGACTGAATCATTTAAGACACGGGAAACAAAGTCACGTTCTTTGCTCTGAGGTGTTGAACACTGAAAGGTCACAGCTTGACTTTGATTTATTGGCCGTTACAATAGCTATTATTCCTGACTTAGCGAAAGCATTAAACCTAATAACAGAGGTCTACTGCGAATCACATCTGATCTGATCATTAGCATAACCTTAACAGGATTCCAAACATGAGTTGAGGTTTTGGAATAAACTGAAATCATAAGGAGTTATTATGTGCAGATTATTTGGGAGTAGAGTCTTTGAGGATAAAATCTGTAACAAACCATTTTAACAACCATTTTTTTGTGTATCCAGACTTTAACTACATCTCATTGTCTGCCCGTCTTGTCTGCTATGGTTGTTTGGTCTACACAGTGTGTGTAAATGTATTGTGGTGTGATAATGTGTCCTGGAGGAAAATAAATATATTCTATTTCTAACACCCCACCACTATCCTCCATACTGTACCTGTGCATCCAGCTCCATGATATGGGAGACCTTGTTCCAGCCAAAGCCCACGAAGCGCTGGTCGTACACAGGACAGTCCCGCCTCAACCACCACATAGGGCTCAAAGTCCGCCTCCCACTCCACCTTATAGGGCGTGGTGGCTGTCCGCCACTTGGCGTAGTTGGTAGGAGCATGGCCCTTGGTCCAGACGTGATACCTGGGGAAGGCAAGGAGAGAGAGACGTGTACAGGTGTGTTAATAATAGTTTTGAACTAGATTGCATGAAGTGCATTCGGAAAGTATTCAGACCCCTTGACTTTTTCCACATTTTGTTACGTTACAGCCTTATACTAAAATTGATTAAATTGTCCCCCCCCCCCCTCATCAATCTACACACAATACCCCATAATGACAAAGCAAAAACATGTCGAAGAAATTTTAGCAAAATTATTAAAAATTAAAAACGGAAAAATCACATTTACATAAGTCTTCAGACCCTTCAATCAGTACTTTGTTGAAGCACCTTTGGCAGCGATTACAGCCTCGAGTCTTCTTGGGTATGACGCTACAAGCTTGGCACACCTGTATTTGGGGAGTTTCTCCATTCTACTGTGCAGATCCTCTCAAGCTCTGTCAGGTTGGATGGGGAGAGTCGCTGCACAGCTATTTTCAGGTCTCTCAAGAGATGTTCGATCGGGTTCATGTCCGGGCTCTGGCTGGGCCACTCAAGGACATTCAGAGACTTGTCCCGAAGCCACTCCTGCGTTGTCTTGGCTGTGTGCTTAGGGTCGTTGTCCTGTTGGAAGGTGAACCATCGCCCCAGTCTGAGGTCCTGAGCACTCTGGAGCAGGTTTTCATCAAGGATCTCTCTGTACTTTAATCTGCTCATCTCTCCCTTCATCTTTCCCTCGATCCTGACTTGTCTCCCAGTCCCTGCCGCTGAAAAACATCCCCACAGAATTATGCTGCCACCACCATGCTTCACCGTAGGGATGGTGCAAGGTTTCCTCCAGACGTGACGCTTGGCATTCAGGCCAAAGAGTTTAATCTTGGTTTCATCAGATAAAATAATCATGTTTCTCATGGTCTGAGAGTCCTTTAGGTGCCTTTTGGCAAACTCCAAGTGGGCTGTCATGTGCCTTTTACTGAGGAGTGGCTTCCGTCTGGCCACTCTACCATAAAGGCCTGATTGGTGGAGTGCTGTAGAGATGGTTGTCCTTCTGGAAGTTTCTCCCATCTCCACAGAGGAACTCTGGAGCTCTGTCAGAGTGACCATCGGGTTCTTGGTCACCTCCCTGACCAAGGCCCTTCTACCCCGATTGTTCAGTTTGGCCAGGCGGCCATCCCTAGGAAGAGTCTCGCTGGTTCCAAACTTCTTCCATTTAACAATGATGGAGGCCACTTCTTGGGGACCTTCAATGCTGCAGACATTTTTTGGCACCCTTCCCCAGATCTGTGCCTCGACACAATCATGTCTCGGAGCTCTATGGACAATTCCTTCGCCCTCATGGCTTGGTTTTTGCTCTGACATGCACTGTCAACTGTGGGACCTTATATAGACAGGTGTGTGCCTTTCCAAATCATGTCCAATCAATTGAATTTACCACAGGTGAAACATCTCAAGGATGATCAATGGAAACAGGATGTACCTGAGCTCAATTTCGAGTCTCATAGCAAAGGGTCTGAATACTTATGTAAATAAGGTTAATACATTTGCAAACATTTCTAAAAACCTGTTTTCGCTTTGTCATTATGGGGTATTGTGTGTAGATTGATGAGGAACATTTTTTATTTAATCAATTTTAGAATAAGGCTGAAACGTAACAAAATGTGGAAAAAGTCAAGGGGTCTGAATACTTTCCGAATGCACTGTATACATATTATCAAATGACTTCAACGTATCAATATAATCAATGTACTAAATATACTACCAAAATCAGGCAGGATGCTCCAAGTTATCTCATCTGGGTCTATTTCAGAAGGGCCAATCAAACCCCTTGATCTACAAGCAAGATTGATCAATGGGGTGAGCTGTTAGTGCTGGTGTACCTGAAGGTGTAGAGGGTCCCCATGTCCAGCATGGACAGCAGCTCAGTTTTGGATTTGGGAAAGGAGAGGCGGTAGCGCAGCGTCTCAAAGGCCGGTACCACCAGAGCCTTCTTAGTGTGGGCCATGTCTAACTGGACCACTGACTTTCTGTGGGGATAAGATAGAGAAACCATTAATTTACAACCAATACTGTACATCAGCTAGAGCCACAGCTGCCACTAGTTGGTTGGAATGCATTGCTGGCAACACCTTAGCTGTGGGTTCGACTCCCACGTGGGCCATATATGAACATCATACATATGTTGTCTGTAAATTGCTTTGGATTAAAACTGGCTGCTAAATGACTACATTTTAATACATTTCTTCAGCCAGTGTTCGGTCTATGTTTATGATGGAACATCTTCAGGAAGAACTACAACTCACCTGAGGTAATCATAGAGGCCGTACATGGGCAGGAAGTCCACGTCTGCCAGGAACACATAGGGTGTGTTGGCGTTCCTCAGTGCCACATTTCTCACCAGGTTGACGGGGTAGAACTGGCCCTCCTTGTAAACGATATGGTAGCCCACGTTCTTACGGTTCTTCAGCACCTCGGAGGCCTGGGCGTAACGCAGGAACTGTTGGGCCTCAGCGTCTGACATGTACAGTGCCAGGCTGATAGGGCCTTCCCAGTGCTTACATATGGCCTCCAGCATCTGTAACCTGAGAGAAATAGAAATGATATAAAACTGATGATTAAAATAGAGAAGTAGAGATACAGAGATGTATAGTACATAATGATTATAAAAGCAGTGGTGGAAGTAGAGATGAAAAGGTAGAGGAGGGGGAAGAGGAAGAGGAGGAAGTAGAGAAAGAAGCGAAATACAATCATATTTGTGGAGAGCTGCACTCCTCATGAGCCATAACGTAATAATAAATTCATGCTCACATCTCCAACAACTAGTAAACCAAAGGCCAGTAGGGTCAGAGGTATAAGGTGAGTGTTTACCTGTCCATGGAGAGCTGTGCGACCAGCGTGACGTCCGTGTCGTCCCCGGTGGGCGTGTACTCGTACTGCAGAAAGTAAAGGTGAACGCGGTGCACTGTGATTCTCTCCCGCCGGAAGTCATAACACTGGTCTTCTTCATCCAGCTCCTCCAGAGCTTCTTGTAACTGGAGAGGGATGGACAGAGGGAGGTCAAAACCAATGTTTAGATTGTAAATATTCACTCTAATAGGCTAACATGGTTTCATGACACCATGCAGTCAGAGGTGACGAGACCATGCGGTACACCTGTACACTCTCTGTTGTATTCTGGCTGGATGTCCATGGATATCATAGTATGGTGAATAAAGGGTATGGTGAATGTTAAAACCTCTTTGAGGTGTTAGGGAGTGGTTTGTTAAATGTTATGGTTAACATTATGGTAATGTTTTACTTACCCGTACACTCTCTGAGGTGGCCTGGCTGGGGCAGCCAAACAGCTCTCGTCTTAGTAGGTTCCCATCGTACTCAAGGAAGGTTAAGTATAGGTTCCTGAAGAACTCCACATGCTTGTTCTTCACACGAAGTTTCTTAGGAGAGTTCCAGTGGATCACCTGACACGGGACATAAACATGTTACCATGGTGACCCGTAGCCAGATGACTAGACGCAGTACATTCTTAAGGAAAGAAGTGAGGGGTTTTGCTATGGTGTGCGCGTGTGTGTGTGCGTGTGCGCTTGATGGTGTGTGTATGTGAGTGTGTGTATTTCACTGCATAGCCCTACCTTGAGGTCAGACACCTCTGTGTAGCACTGTTCGGAGCGTGTGTGGTCAGACAGCTGAACATTCCAGAAGCAGGGCAGCTGATGCACTAGGACTGGGTTCTGCTTAATGAACGCATTAAAGATGTCCTGCACACAAGATTACCCACTCACATTAAACACCTGTCTAATACAAAGAAAAAAGGGTTCCAAAAGGGTTCTTTGGCTGTCCCCATAGGATAACCCTTTTTGGTTCCAGGTTCAACTCTTTTGGGTTCCATGTAGAACCCTCTATGTAAAGGGTTCTACATGGAACTCAAAAGGGTTCTACCTGGAACCAAAAGGGTTCTACCAAGAACCAAAAAGGGTTATTCAAAGGGTTCTCCTATGGGGACAGCTGAAGAACCCCTTTAGGTTCTAGATATCACCTTTTTTTCTAAGAGTGTATTATACACACTCATTTTGACATTAAGATCATATAGCACTCTGGCACACAATAGTACACATTGACACATGCTCCAAATGTTCATTAGAGACGTCCTACATACTTACATTACCATCTGCCTCATACACAGTATGCTTTGAGGCATAAGATTACCCTATATCAGGGATCCCCAACTGACGGCTCGTGGGCACATTTTTTACAATATATTTTTTTAATCATTTTAATTGTTGGACATAAATGACTGTAAAAACACCAGGAAATCAGCTCCAAGTGATTTTAATTCAAGAAATCTGTTCCCAAGTATTCCCAAGCATAATAGAGAGACACGTGTTCGTCTACAAATGTGAGCAATGATTATGTTTTAGTCAAACATTAGAGCTTGTTGTCGGTCAATTTGCAGTCTGCAAATTATTTGTAATTATGTTCCGGCCCTCTGACCATACACTCAAGAAAAAAATCGTCCCTCAGCTTAATCTAGTTGATGATCCCTGCCCTATATTAACATCTGTTATGTATGTAATGATCTAAAGAGTATCTCATAATATTTGGAATAAAGACAATAGACTAGACTAGAATAAACAGACCTGGTCAGCCAGCGAGGTACTGAGCATGCTCATTAGCTCTCTTTCGGCGGTCAGCCTCCACATCTGCTCCCAGCCAATCCGTCGCAGCCTCTCCAGGTAGAGCAGGATAACCCCAGTGTTGAAGCCTCGTCCCAGGGCGGGCCAGGGTTTGTGGTTCTTCCACAGGTTCCCCAGGTACCAGTCACTCTGGTTCTCCACCAGACCTATCACCTGCTTGTCTGCAATCACAGCATCACCAATCATCATTCATCCGGATTTTAAAATGCTGATTATCATTAGTAATGAGGTGGAGTCTTCACCATATAGACAGCTTTTGAACTACTAGTTTATCAAAAGGGTATTTTTGTCCTCTAGGGATTTTTGTTTTATAACCAACATTTTACAATTCCCTCATTTGCTTTATCACCCAACCAATGTATTAATTATTCAACCAATCAACCAGAAATGTTTATCAAGGTCAAAGGTTGTACCAGTGAACTTCCTGAAGATGGCCCAGAGCTCAGCGATGTCGGTTGCGAAGGTGATGTCCGTATCCAGGACAATGACCTTTGTGAGGTCAGAGGGCAGCGCTTTGGTTAGGGTCAGCTTCATCAGACCGTAGATACCTGAGTAGTGCTTGTTAGGTATCCATGACACCTCCGACTGGAAGAGAGGAGAAGATGGAGGGATGGAGAGAGAAAGCAAGAGTGAGGTTGAACAACTTTAGACCTCACAGAACATTTTGATTTCAAAAGAAAAGGGAATATAAAGTTGCAAGGTATGAAAAAAAATGTAGTTAGAAGCAATACCACTGTGTCTCTTTGTCAGGCATGTAAGTGTATTCTCCTTTCTTTAAATAGCTAACTTGCGCAGAAACCCATCCGTCTCCTAAGATCCCTTTAGTATAAAACACCCTTTAAACCAGAGGTGAACCAATTGGAACGTTACTACTGTTTACTCTATAGCATTAATCTTTAAAAAATATAATTGTTTTCATGCCCAGGATACCCAATGAATACTGAAACTTTTGGCATGCATCTGGGCAACCGTGTCTGATAATTAATCCCTCTTGATTCTGCAGAACGGGATCTGCATAAGCGAATAATTTGCAAATATAATCAGCTCAGAAGATGCAGTGTTTCCTTCTCCGTTTGAACTGAGCTAATAAAAACTGTCTGAGTAGGTCGAGACATTTGAGAGCACAAAGAGCTTTTGTTCCTGCTAAGCTTGTGGAGGCTGAGAGAGAATGTGATGATGGGGACAGAGACGGAGCCAAGATATATTACAGGCCGAGGCAGGTTGGTATGTGAGCTGAGCAACAATATGTTACTGTATGAACCCTTTATCAATAGCAAAGAGACAAATCTACACGCACACACCCACCCACAGTGCATGCACATACCACACACAAACGTCTGAGGTGACATGATGGTCTCCGTTCCTTGTGAAACCCGTGTCTACTGGATGTCTCTTTCACCTGCCCACTGATTGATTGGAAAGTGGTGGGATTCCCTTTAATGTCAATGGTTGCTCACAGAGGGCACACAAATCATTTCCTAAACACTGATTTAAAAGATAGAGCAGACACTCAGGCCCCTGAAGGACCAGAGTTGCCTATCACTGAGCTAGAGCTCATCAAAAGAGGAGGACAGAATACTGTAAAGGGGAAAGATGGGGGGGGGGGGGGGTCATTTACCTTGAGTTCGTCTGCGTCGTAGAAGCTAACTTGTACAGACGGAACCATCCAGGACTGGAACAGAGAACTCAGGATCTGATTGGCTACTGCATCTGTGATGAAGTGGAAATGGAGAGGGTTTCTCCTGAGAGAGAGAGAGAGAGAGAGAGAGAGAGAGAGAGAGAGAGAGAGAGAGAGAGAGAGAGAGAGAGAGAGAGAGAGAGAGAGAGAGAGAGAGAGAGAGAGAGAGAGAGAGAGAGAGAAATACATATGCCAAGAGCTACTCAAGTGCTTAATCTCTCTGACTAAGAAGGTCCTGCCATTTCCTAAAGTCACACAACTTCCCATGAGTCCAATAATGAATTAATTAATCATTATCTCAAGTGGCCTTTGAATTGACTTCAGCCTTGTTAGTTTAGGATTCATCAAGTAGAATAAACAACTATTGTTGCTATATTAGGTGTAGCTGTAGTTATAGCAGTAGGTGTAGTTGTATGTGTAGCTCTGTTGTGTTACCTGTGGAACAGGATGGACTTGACCAGGGTGACCACATCTCTGCTGGCGTTGTGACCGGCACACACGCACGCTACATGAATCAGCTGCGCAGAAGAGAGAGGGCAGAATTAGCCACAAGCGATGCCATCAACACTGTTGGGAATATCGACTCCCTATGTCTACGTTTTAGCACTATAGCCATATTATTTCACTATGACTATGTTATTTTATCCAAAACACAAACACCACTGACAATAGATTTGACATATCAACTTAACACTAATGACCAAACAGCGAAGCTAAACTAACACAGCTAAAACAGTGCTGCTCTAAAATAAGTCTCTGATCCTGGCTCACCTCACACTTCAGTACGGTGGGCGAACGGGGACACTCGGTGTGATTGGCTCTATCTTCCGCCGTGTTCTCCACGTCCTCGGGCCCAGTGTCAGCTGACGCCCCCCACGCCACGTTGCCGTAGTTACCACCGTCGGCGGGCTGGCCTGCCGTGCCCTGCAATTGGCTGAGCTGCAGGCGGATCTGCCGGTTCTCCTCCTCCATCTCACGCACCCGCGACTCTAGAACCGCCCGGTCTAGAACCCGTGCCTCGGGGGTCTCCGACAGACAGGGGGACAGGAGGAGAGAACGCCCATCTGGAGAGGGGGAGAGGAGGAGGAGAGGAGGGGATAGAGGGGAGAGGAGGGAAGAGGGGAATTAGAATTAGAATTAGGGTTTAATTAAATCTTTCATTTCTAGAGTTGTATAAGAATCACTTCACTTTCTGCTTCTTTATTTATCTAATCTCTCTCTCTCTCTTTCTCATCAACCCCTCTCTGTCTGTTTGACAAACTGTCTGAGGAGCAGCTGGCTGACACAGATGAAGTGAGGCACTCTTGAAATGTTCACACTCTGTTCCTGGTCGCTCAAAAGAAAGTGGGTGAGAGAGAGATATACTGATATGTACTGATATGTAGACCCAATCCTGAAACAGATACTGTACAAGGACAGCCTTGTCCTCTAGTGTGGACACAGTAATTCACTGCTTCCACCGGCTATTCCGTAGAGCTGAAATGAACAGACTGCACTATAAACACCCCATCAGTCATCTTAGGTAATGTATGTGGGAGAGAGGATTTGTCAGTGTGCGTATGCATGCATGTGTGTGTGTGAGTGCTTATGAATTCTGGCACGCATCATAATTTGGATTTAGGAGTGTATGACAGTATGTCCAGGGTCTATTGTTTTTGTTTACAACAGGATACTGACAATCATATATAGACTGCCTAAGAACACTTAACCACAGACATTCTCAGAAGAGCCTTGCTTGATTCTTAGAAGTCAGGAAAGTAATCATAGCAATTCTCGGACAAAGAAATCTCAGCCTACAAGATTGTTAGTACAGATGCCGTATATTAATTTGAGCCAGTTTCACACAGCAGGATTATAATCCTGCAGCAAGAGGAAATGTGAATGGAGGGACAAGGCACAGCGTGGATGTTTTTTCCGAACATTTGTAGTTTATTATATATGACAAGCCAAATGAACATTGCTTGCATCCTCCCCTTTCAAGGTGGTTTATCTAGCACTACCTTTTTCATGATTTAACTTATATCACATGTTCCATCAAGACCAAATCCTGACTTGGCGATGTAATTTACCAAATGCCTCCACCACTTACTCGCAAATTGGTTTGTAGTCTATCATGCCTCGTTTTGTCTCGACCCATCCTACCACCTGTGACTGTACCTCTTTTTGCTGGTCTACTAATTTCGTTAACCCACGATCCCGCCATTAAAATCTTAGCAATCCCCTATATCGTAGCTCATTGGTCCCCTAGAGCACCCACCCTAGTCTGCGTCACAGGTATATCCTCACTGGTCATTCCCAAAGCAAACCTCCTTGGCCGCCATTCTTTCCAGTTCTCTGCTCCAATGCTGGAACAATTGCAAAAATCTCTGAAGGGAGACCTTATCTCCCTCATATACTTTAAGCATCAGTTGTCAGAGCCCCTTACGATCACTGCACCTGTACACAGCCCATCCGAAATTAGCCCACCTTTTTTCTTGTTATTTATTGCTATTTTGCAATGTTTTATTACATATTCTTCCATTCATTAATGTTTTAATTTAATTCTGCTTAGCCATTTCCTCATCTCTTGCATGTGCCTCCCTATATAGGTTTTTTGGTACTTAACTTATGCACAACGCTTTTCAGCATTCAAACTGTTACTATACCACATGTCAATATACATTGAGTATATAAAACATTAAGAACACCTGCTCTTTCCATGACATAGACTGACCAGATGAATCCAGGTGAAATCTATGATCCTTTATTGATGTCACTTGTGAAATCCACTTCAATCAGTATAGATGAAGGGGAGGAGACAGATTAAAGAAGGATTTTTAAGCCTTGAGACGAGTATGTGTATGTGTGCCAATGTGTATGTGTGCCATTCAGAGGTTGAATGGGCAAGACAACAGATTTAAGTGCCTTTGAACGGGGGTGCAACTCAATATTAAGAAGGTATTCCTAATGTTTGGTATACTCAAATGTAGTCTACCAGTCTATCCTGCCCTCTATCCACCATTCATCGTGACAATAGTGGTAGGTGCACCATTTGTCTAGATCTGCAATAGGCTAACTGGCAATCATACCACACATAAAAGCATTCAAAGCTGCATACATTTTCAATATGAAGCCACAAGAACAAATAGGAATAGCTGAGGCCAGGTGCATCATTGTGCAGGAAATAACATTGAAGACATGAGACACGCAGCTCAAAAAGCTCCCCTATTGATTTTGTTTAGGGGCAATTCAAAATTCTACTCTAGGCTGCAGTGAAAATGTCATTTGAATAATGACGCAAAATTGTGATTTGAATGTTTCATTCCATTTGGAACAGTTGTGGGTCTACTCTCGACAGTTTATAAGGTCTAGAAAAGCACAGTAGCAGGCCAGACTGGATGTATTTTTACTTCTGATACTGAATGCGCTGTCTGTTGCAGATCATCATTCTCCCAAATCGTCCTATAATAATGTGGCCACATATGCTCCCGGCAGCCTCAGTTATTCAGGAAAGCTTAACGTGGTCTCTGCTTCCCAATCCGAGCCTATTCCTCGCACACCTAGAACCTAACACTTCAATATAGCCTATATAATTTAACTTGTAAAACGTGTTGCCTTTTATATGTGGCATAAACACAACCAGTCACAATGTTTTCATCTGATTAGGCTACTTTAAAAGTCTCCTGTAGGCATGCACACGTTCATCCAAAATATAATTCCAGCATCCTCAAAATGACTTGATATTAACCAGGTTTCCATCCTTCCTTTTTATGTGAGTAAAGTACATGTCGGTTAAAAAATGTCACGATATCATGGGAAAGCATTCAGTTTATTAGGCTACAGATGAAATAATTTATGATGACCTTCACAGGGTGGTGAAAGTGCAAGGTGATGAGCTTGATGCTCCTTTCAATAAATATCTGTCACGCCCTGGCTCTGGGGACTCTTGTATGTTGAGCCAGGGTGTTAGTTTCGTTGTGTAGAGTCTATGTTTCGTGTTTCTATGGTATGTTCTAGGTTATGTGTTTCTGTGTTGGCCGGGGTGGTTCTCAATCAGAGGCAACGAGAATCAGCTGTTGCTTGTTGTCTCTGATTGGGAACCATACTTAGGCAGCCTTGTGTGCACTTGTTATTCGTGGGATCTTGTTCCGTGTTGGTTTGTATTGTATAACCGAGGACTTCACATATCGTTTTGTTGTTTTGTGTATTTGAAAGTACTAAAATAAAAGTATGTACTCATATCACGCTGCGCCTTGGTCCGCTCCTTTTGACGATCGTGACAATATCAAGGGACTTATTCTGGTTACATTTCGATGCTTGGCTGGCGTTTGACAAATAAAAATAATCTTGCACTTTTGTCCGCAATAATCTCATCATGTAGGCTATACCCGCACTGTATCTGCGAGTTGTTGGCTAGAGCGCACGTGCCAATACCAGAGTGGGCACATTTACTATACCAACGCAATATGTTTTGTGACAAAACAATCAGTAGGCTTAGAGTTTAAAATGCGATGGAAACCATTTAACTTGTATTTTTTATTCGGTACATGGGAATTTAACTACAAAAGTTATTTGTATGTGGACTACGTATTTATGGAAACACAACTCTGATGGGAAAATGACCATATTGTTTTTATGCAAAGTTTTGAATATTCACATGAAAATCTGTCGCCAATTGGATGGAAACCTAGCTATATAGATACCCTAAAGACTCTGGCAAGTGCGCTAGTCCAGTGGTTTACCAGTAACCCCAAACATCTAAAGAATAAGCTACAGACCAGCCAAAACAAGCTTGTAAGATTTTGTATTTAAACTTCCCCCTCATACTCATCTAGAGGTCTAGCATTTTTTTGTCTGTATCTATGTAATTGTATATGTATCTCTGTAATGTATCTGTATCTATGTAATTGTATATGTATCTATGCAAGAAAATAGGGACCACAATGGAAATAAATCCGACTTTATTGTGCAATCTCGGTCACTTTGAAAAACCTTTATACTGTGTGTATATGTATTTTTTTTTATTGACTCAATCAAATCAATCCAAACTGTGCAGCGGCCATTTGATGAATGGAAAGCGACATCTGTTACAAAACACCCAAAAGTTTAATGATATTCAGGGATTCTCAAGCCAAGCCTTTGATACTGATTAAGCCTACAATGTATGGAGGGATGTATTTTCTGTTTGTTGAGATTGACATAGTCTATTTATTGTGGTGTTGAAAATGCAAACCATGATATTGAAGTGCCCGAAGTCGGTATGCTTTGTTTATTGGTTGTGTGGTACCTGTTGGTGAAAAATGTGTTGCAAATATTTTATATAATTATATGACATCAAAATGTTTGAAAATCTGATTTCCCCCTAGCTGATCATTGTCTGCAGCTGGCTCTGATTGTAGTGTTACTCTTCAGCTCCACTATATATATTGCGTTGATTTGTCATCAGCGTCACATCAATGTGAAGTTTTACCTGCTACACAGAGTGCGTTGTTTTGAGAGCGGACAGGAGCAGAATCTTTATTCTATTTTGCCTACTGTACAGTACCATATTCATCCATTATGCGTATGTACAATAGCTTTGGTCCAGTTTTCCGCAAGTACTCACTAAATTGTTGCTAGTGGTTGTACTAAATTATCCTCTAATTACACAAGCTGCTTTTGAACCTTTTGAACCTTTTGAACCTAGCTAGTCAATGTAACTAGCTAGCTAGTAGTAGCTTCTTGACTTCATAAATCTTACTAAAATAACCAGTGGTGTATAGTCGTTGCCATATGCCACCAAAATCAACTTTGTTTGTCATTATTTCAATTCACAAGATAGAATGAACGTTTGCATCAGCCATCGAGAATTGAACCTCTGATTCTTGAGCTTGGATGTTGCCATTGGACATGATGCAACGCGAGCGCAACACAGGCAGTGAATCAGCTTTCATTGATTTCAAAGGAAGCATAGCCTCATCGGCTGATGGCAATGCCAGACGCCCGATGGCTATAGTGTGGCAGGGCCGTAATGAAACAGGCAGAGAGAGTGAGTTTGTCTGTGGTGGTAGGCGAACCCTTGAACTTCTGGCCTGTAGCCCTGCATGGCATCGACTGTGCCACATAAGTATGCTGAAGTGGCAACGTTGATATCCAAGTTCATAATAAAAAGGGTTGTTACAGTTATTGTTATTTGAGGTCATAAACATTATTTCGAGTTAATTTCCGTTAGGGAAAATCAAGTCTGACATTTTAAAATGGAAATTACAAACTTTAGAATACTTTTTAAATCTTGGATGCACTACAAGTTTGCATTTCCTGCAGTGCAGAACAATTCCTGCAACAACAGGATGATCAAATTAAGACACAACATCTGTACACCGTTGTTTAATGTGTTTTTAAAGTAGCTACAGTACATGCATACTTGTGTTTCCCATTCCTTCCTACTGCAGTTCAATGGAAAAGTAGTTCCGGTCAGCCATGTAACCATGGCGACTGGCAGGTACTACTTACTCTCCAGGTTCCCAGCCAGCAGGTAGAGCCAGGTAAGCAGGATGACGGCGGTCAGAGATGCCACCAGCAGCTTCAGACGACCTCGAAATGGCAGGTGCATGATGGGACAGCTGGGTGGGGGGCTCAGGTGGGAGGTGAGGGGTCACGGCTCAGGTGGGGCTCAGTCTCTCATCTGCTTCCTGCTGCATCCTCTCATCTGGAGGGAGAGGAGGAGAAAGAGAGGAGGAGATAGAAGGTTAGCATGATGCTATCACAAAATGCTTTAGTGGCATAACAGTGCAGTTTGTATTCAAGCAAAGCAGAAGTTAGGACACGGAAATGTCAGGGGCATGAACACACCCAGTCACAATGTTTTAATCTGATTAGGCTATTTTAAAAGTCTCCTGTAGGCACGGTTGTCCTAAATATAATTCCAGCATCCTCAAAATGACTTGATATTAACCAGGTTTCCATCCTTCCTTTTAATGTGAGTAAAGTACATGTCGGTTAAAAAATGTCACGATATCATGGGAAAGCATTCAGTTTATTAGGCTACAGATGAAATCATTGATGATGACCTTCACAGGGTGGTGAAAGTGCAAGGTGATGAGCTTGATGCTCTTTTCAATAAATATCAAGGGTCTTATTCTGGTTACATGGCTGCCATTTGACAAATAAAAATGATCTTGCACATTTGTATCTGTGTAATTGTATATGTATCTATGTAATTGTATCTGTATCTATGTAATTGTATATGTATCTATGTAATTGTATATGTATCTATGTAATTGTATATGTATCTATGCAAGAAAATAGGGACCACAATGGAAATAAATCCGACTTTATTGTGCAATCTCGGTCACTTTGAAAAACCTTTATACAGTGTGTCATCTCACTCTCATTCTCTTAACACAAATACAAGCACACGCACACACACGTATGCACAAACACACAAGCACGCGCACACACACATGTGCAAGCAAGCACGCACGCACATACACACACACTCACACACAGTTTATTCACAGCCAGGCTCACAGCAGGGCATTGTGCACAATTGGCAATAAGTGTGGGCAGACTCTCTCTCGCTCTACCTCCCTCTATCTATAAGGGCGAATAGTCCTCTCTTTGTTTTATGATGAGCTTAATTAATCACGCTTCACTTTAATTAGACGCAGGCCTGAAGGAAACAAGATTGAATGCGGCTGCCAATTAATAAAGAGAAGTAAAAAAATATGAAAAGAAGAGTGTGTCTGGCCTTTGCTTTGCTGTTGTGAAAACTCTGGTGAGAGAGGGAGGAGAGGGAGGAGAAAGTGGGATGGGTGGACAGTATACAGGTGAGATTAAACTGAACTCGCTCCCTGACCCAGGTTTTTATTCAGGTTGATGTTTATTGGGATGAGTCTTGTCCTGGAACTGAGCGATTTCCGCTACATTGGCCAGCTGCAAAGTCAAAAATTTATGAAAACAGAAATGTGCTTTTCGGTCTTAATTTAAGGTTAGGGGTAGGCATTCATGTTAACAGTGTGGTTAGGGTTAAAATCTGATTTTATGACTGTGCCAGCTCGTCACCACTCTGCAGAGCTGCCTCCAGAACAAGATTCATGACGAAAAACGCGAACCTGTGGTTTTTATCTACTTGACAGGCACACACACACATACACACACACACACACACACACACACACACCCTCAAGACTGTCAAATGAACATCCAGTGTGCGACTTTACTTAACAAAAACACAGATGCTTAGCTTGGTTGCTCGAGGTGTTTGTGTGTGTTTGCTCAAGGGCTCTCATTCCAATGGATTCTCGTCACGCTGTTCAACTCTATTCGACACAACGCCTACAGCTAGCAGACTAAAACGACAAGGACAAAGAGCACTACTGATAATGCCAGAGAGAGAGAGAGAGAGAAGCAACAATACCACAACATACTGGAGAGCCACTCCGACATGTGCAGTCTATTAACCAAACGTACAATTCTATAGAAAATGCTATTAGTAACATTAATAACACAACAACCAAAGCCATAGCTGGGTCACAGTCAGAGTAAGTGAGGGCTGTTGAGAGACTTTGTGGAGGAGGTACAGTGGATAAGGAAAGAGAGCCAAGGCCTGCAGATACAGAAGAGAAAGGTGAGAGGTGTTCAACCGATTCACCCACCCCTGCCTTAAAAGGATAGTTCATCCAAATAAAAAAATGACATCTTGGTTTCCTTACCCTGTAAGCAACCTATGGACCAGGTATGACAGAAATCCATGCTTTGATTTTGTTTCCCTGCCAATATTTCCAAATGATAATGTCCTTGTCCATAGACTGATTACAGGGTAAGAAAACCAATATGTAATTTTGTAATTTGTGTCACAATCGTCGTATACAGAGGAGGACCAAGGCGCAGCGTGGAAGGTGAACATGCTTTTTATTAATGTTACACGAACAAAACAACAAACGATACGTGAAGTCCTACGGTACAAACACAAACCAAAAAAAACAAGATCCCACACCATACTGTGGGAAACAGGCTGACTAAGTATGGTTCCCAATCAGAGACAACAAGCAACAGCCGATTCACGTTGCCTCTGATTGAGAACCACACTGGCCAACATAGAAACACAATACTAGAACGAACACAAATGAAAACTCACACCCTGGCTCAACATACTAGAGTCCCCAGAGCCAGGGCGTGACAATTTGGGTGAAATATCCCTTTAACACAACAATCACCTCAAATCTACCGTTGATTCAACTATAACCTAAAAAAACATTCACGTCAAATACCTCATACATTTCCTTGCTGTGCTTTTTTAAGCACAGTTACTGCTCTTTGCCTGCCAAAGTACAGTAATAGTAAGTGTGATCCACCCAGTATTGAGGTTACACCCTAGAGTTACAACACCTGGTCAAGGTGAGATCAGGAAGGGGATTTTTCCCAGAAAACCTTGGCTGCATCAAATGATAAATACTGCAAGACATCTGCTTTTTAATCTTTTCTCTCTGATCTTTCATATTCTTTCTCTTTTCTCTGTGTACTGAAGATAAACCCATTCTGAAATTATTGTTTCGTTCTCTCTCTCTCCCTCTCTCCCTCTCTCTCTCCCTCTCTCCTTCCCTCTCCCCCTCTCTCCCTCCCTCTCCCTCTTGCCCAGAATGTCAAATAACGTTATTAACCACTTCCCATGCTTTTAAAACAACGATTCTGTTCCGGAATAGTATAGATCACTTCTGTTACCGGTTCCGATTCTGTTCCTTGAAAAGTTTGTTATTTTACAGTTTTCTGTTCTGTTCCCTGAACCGTTTCCAACCCCTGGTTTAAACTCTATCCCAAACCTTAACCCTTACCTTAACAATTTGGAATTAATGCCTAAACTTAACCGTCAAAATATCTATGTTTATGGACAAAAGTCGAATACTGCAGTCAGACCATGAGATCTTGTTGGAAATAGAATGGAAACTAAACAGAACATAACAGAATACAGCACTTCATTCATTGTCCTCCAAGCGGAAATTCTTCATGTGTTAGGTACAAAACAGCCAAAGTTTTCCATTCCACATTATTGTAGAGCATATTGAATTGTGCCAAGGGAAACCTGCCGCCTGTTCCTGTATTTCTAAGCACGACTGTCAATCAAACATGGCTCCTGAGGAACATATAATGTAAGTAATAATGCAATTAAGAGCTGAAGCCATTGTGTCTCTGTGTAAAGGCCTTTAGCGGTAGCTTCCCCATTCAAAGTGAAGGGCCTTTTAGCGCTGTGCTAATCAGGAAGGGAGATATCTCTGATTAGGGCATAATCAGTTTTGCGCTTCCTGCATTAGAGAACCGTGATAACAGAGGAGATGGTTAATCAACTACTCTCTTTCTCTATCTTGACCTCAGCCAAGGGTTCACACACACACACGCACACACACACACTCTTGAGATTAGATTCTTGATTGAAAACCAAACCATCCATTCAGAGTGGATACGTTTACCTCTGTCTGTATGTTTGTGAGTGTATCTGCACAGACGGATTGGTTCCCTCTGCATTTGTTTGTCCTGTCTTGTGTGTGTGTGTGTGTGTGTGTGTGTGTGTGTATGTTTGTATAGTTTGTGTGTGTGATGCGTGGGTTGACTCATAGCTTGCAGTCCCCGCGGTTATATCTGCGGGGCAGGCAGGTGGCGGTCGGATTGAATAAAGAGAAAATAGTACAGAAATCAAATCTATAAATGTATAATTATTGTGCAATTTATATCTAGGCCTATAGGCTACATTGAGTTTTGCATCTGGCATTAGTGCGTAATCCTAAGCTTTAGGGCACTTTACACGTGCCAAATAGCCTACACGCCAATCCCCTAAAGCTTTTGGGAACGGGCAGAAAAAGTTAATGTCCATCCACTGAGGCAAAAAGGACATTGTCAGAGTTTAATTCAATAAAAACAAAGATGGTCGCACACTCCATACGTATAACCTCCCAGTAATTTATTGGGTAAAAAAACACCAACGTTTCGGCATCACTGAGCTGTGAAATTGAGAATAAAAAATAAAGAGTAGGGAGGGGCAAGAAAATTAATGTTTTGGAAAGATTTGGTGAAGTGGTAAAAGAGGATGATAGCTGTGTTGGCTATGTTATGTGTGATGATTGTGAGGCACTATATAAATTCGACAGTCACAAGACAGGGACTTAAAATAGGCCTATGACACGTCAAATGAGCTGTAGCCTACTCTTCAGATGGGTTAAATGGAAACTGAAATCTTCACAATGACTGTAGGTCTATAACTTCTCACATAGTCTTAACATTAATTCCTGCAGAATTAAGCATTTCTTGTAGTAAATTGATACCAACAAGCTCAAGTGAGAATTAGACGTTCATCCAAGTTTCTCAAACATCAAATTTCGAAGTTGTTCCAAACGTCAAATGTTCTAAATGTTTAAATGTTTAGGCATTAACTCAGAATTTTTAAGGTTAGGGTTAAGTTTAGGCATTAACTCTGACATCTTAAGGTTAGGCATTAACTCAGAATGGTTATGGTAAGGGTTAAGGTTTGGGATAAGCTTAAAACAAAAATCTCAAAAACAACGTTCTATTGCTGGATTAAAACATGCAACCATTGGCACCAGAGGCAGATGCTCTTAAACATCATGTGGTGCTATCTTTAAAAGCATCATAAAACATTTAGCACCAAAAATATTACACTTCTTTTTTTGTTGAGTTATTGCATTTTCTCCCTGGTCCCTAA